AAAAGAATAAAAAAAAAAAAGAATTCATAATGTGCCAAAATCTGAGTTGCATTTCGCTGATCAGGCAAAAAAGTCTTGGAAGCACTGTCCCTGGTGGCAGAGACTGTACCCCACGGATTACAGCACTGCACAGTGAAATTGCTGGTCCCCATGCCATTCATGCTAGTCACCAATGCCTGCCCTCGTTACAGTTGCAAATTACCCTAATTAGCAACACACACACACACACACTATATCACATGAGCAATGGGGGAAAACATGCCCTGCCAGCTTAGATAGCAAAAATAGTGAAACAACCTGTCAAACAGGTAACATTTGCTCTTTTAACACAAGCATCTGGGCACAGATGATTCTTCCTCAGATGCTCCTTTGCCATTTTTGTGGCTCTAGGAGTCTGAGAGAGGAGCAGTTTCCTCTTGCTCTAACTAGAACACAGTTTGTGCAGGTATGGGCAGGACCTTACCTCTCCTGGTACCTCTTCATACACTGTCTCCTCTGTGTAGTACTATAAATAGAACACACGGGCATCACCATGAGAACAGAAGCAGAAAGTGCCTTCCCTCAGCCTCAGCTCTACCCTTAGGAGCTTTCACCAGCTCAGCTGGTTTACAGTATCTGTCAAAGTAGGTGAGAGAGCCTTTCCTATTTGGAGACCTGTATCCCCTTGTGAAGCTTTAGGAAAGCTAAAGTGAATGTCATCAGACTCAACAAAAACATGCAGTGTGATGAGCCAGGTGACTGAGGCTGGTTTATATACAGGGCAAGCTATTTTCCTGGGACAAGTAATATTTTTTTCTTACAGTACCCAAGATAGAATTTCCTTAGAAAAGAGTACAATAACAATATCTTGAGTGTGTGGTTTGGGCAAAAAGCAACTATGATAAAACTCACTCTTTACTATCAATAATACAAAAAAAATCCTGAGGATGAATAATTTTTATTGGGTTTTATTATGGAAGTAATAAGATCTAAAATCCTATCCACATCTCAATTATTCCTGTATCCCTCTGGTTACTAAGCAGTAAGTTTTTTCTGGAGTGACAGATGACTCCTTTTCAATAGTGCAATGGTCCTAAACAGGCTGCTATGACAACTTGTAAATGCCAGGGGAAGAAAGGAAAAATGTGTGTTCTCAACACAAAATGTGGGCAAGGCAGGCTGCAGCTCGCTCCTAATGACTGTGAGGTGCTTGCAGTCTGGATCTGAAACTGAGTCTACTTTTATTCTATTTATGACATCACTAGCAATAAATAGATGCAGATAAGAACTGGCTGACATTTTGTTTGAGATGTGTAAGGAGAGTGGAATCCTGCCCCAGCTTCACCCAACTCTGCTGGGCAAACAGAAGGGAAGACTCATTGAAGCCAAGGCACAGAAGGAAAAGAATAAAAAGGGATAAAACCTACTTGGCTCATTTTCTCAGTCGAGAAAATTCATAAAATTTTATGCCTCATTTCTCTTATTTCTGACACCAAAGCATGTGTGTGTTGGGGGGTAGCAGGGGAAACACTGAACACTGGTAAATTTTCCCGAGTGGCTTCCTTTCTTCTGCCCTTGCTTCAATGAACTTGTATCAAAATATTTAGCCACTGTCCATGGGCCACTTTCTCTATTCCACCCATGACAACAGTTGTATAAAACTTACCTACTATCCATCAGACTCGTGTTTTCTTTGTTCTTGGGCTATTTTTAAAACTTAAAATATATATATTTTTTACATATCCTTACATATAGTATCAGGAATCACATGGACAGGACAGAGAATCATTCTTTCACACTTGTGACTTCAGCACAAAAGAAATGCCATTTGAACCCTTTAAAACTACTATTTGATGCTGATGCCACTTGGAGCCATTCTTATGGTCACACAAAACATCAATGACTTGAAAAGAAATATTAAAGTAAAGTGAATGAGTCCAAGTATTTTGGATTTTCTTAACCTCCAAGTATAAAAGCAGCTCTTTGGAAGCCAGTCCATTTTACCTTTGTTGGGCTTTCACAATTGGTAAATACATCTTAGAAATAAGCTTACAAAGAAAAAAAGGAACATCAACCAAATGGTTGGCATTAAGTTGTATGCCAAATCTCACTTCATTTTTTTTTAGATCTATCCTAATTAGATAGTGCATCTTTGCTTCTTTTTCTCTTTCCAAGTTTAAGTTTAAATAGACAGTGACAGTAAAATTTTATTTCAGATGTCCAAGATCCCTAGGAGATATATTTTTAAACCTAGTTCCTGTTTTTTGAACTCTTTTCTGAACAATTTTCTTGAATCTGCTACCCTTCCATTCTCATGATCTGTTTCAAGACCAAAGAGTCCTCAGTTCAACACTTTCTGGCAGGCAGTCTATTCGTTTAGCACCTGCTGGTCAGACTCAGAAGCAGTAATGAGAACAAAATGGTGAGGATGGGTTGCCTAAAAATAGCCCCTTCCATTTTTATGACTAGTTAAATCAATCAAGTCTAGCACTAAGGACAATTTCCAGTGACAAATGGACACAATTATTTTAAGAAAGATGAGGAATGTCTAAGTTGGAGGCTAAAAAATGTTCTCGACACTATCACCATAGGAAGATAATTTAATTTATAATTGTGTTAGTGTTGGATAGTGATAATTCTGACCCTTAGGGACACACACAAAATGTACACTAGTGATAATACTGACCATGGAGGAGGGGACCGTTTGTGTGTAACCCAGAGAGGTTACATAACTACACTGTATGAGATCCCTTCTGGTTTTTTACATATATTCTTCAGTAATAAAGGTGACCTTATTTATGGAATAAAAGTTTTCTACGTCCAAATATAGACTGGTTGCTAAAATAATTTTCTAAAGACAAATTTTGGTATTTTCAGCTGGTCAGTTTTGAGTAGCTCTTATAATTAATTTCAGTCTTATTAAAATGCACGCATTTTAAAAACTGCCTCCAAGGGCCACAGGCACTTGGAGAGTCTCACATATCTATATTATCACCACCAACTGGAAAGCAGTACGCGCTTTCAGACTCTCAGGAGTGCATTTATGTGGATAAGAGCCCCGGGCCTGATTTTAGTTCTAGAAGGTGGGAGTAAGAGCTGGTGAGCAAACTCCATGATACGGTCAAAATGAAACTATATAAAATATAAAATAAGTAATTAATAACTATTGAATGCATCAGCTCCCCCACCAATAATGCAGAGGAAATTCTTCAAGATACCTGCTGTCTTTGTTCCTATTAAAGATTCAGAAGCAAAAGTTAGTCTTATTGATTTGGGTAAATATGATGGTGTTGATGGGAAGGTGGCTCCATCTGTCGCTTGTGACCTTCATGAGTGTACTTACATGTTTTTATATTCATGGACATGTGTGCCCATATACATATACATATATACATACATAAAGACCCATACATACAATTGTTCTGAATATAGAACCTACACTGACCTATAGATAATTCACTAGTGGAAGCAAAGAGTAAGGAATAACTCCCTTTCCCCTATTATTGTGCAGAAACTCAGAAACAGTTCAGGTTTCAGTTCTCAGAAATTTGTCTTCCTCACCTCTGTCCCTTTGATCATTGGTGTTGGGAGGTAGGAAATAAAGCAGTTTTAGAAGAAAAAGTAAAAACTGCCTGTACTTCACACTTTGGTGGTTTTTGTTTTTGAGAGTTTAAAGAAAAGCAAAAATATGAAACAGTGATATTTCCTTTCAATTCTAAGCCACACATAATTATTGTGAAACTGAACGTAAAGTATTTCTTTCTTAAGATTTAATGACTCTGTAAAGTTATAATAGACAATGTATTTTTTTAAATGATTGAGTCACCTACACAGCTCTGATTGTCACTACAAAAAATACTTCACTGTCAGAGTTGATTTTTAAAAAATCTTACCTCCACCACCTCCTCATATTCTTCGTCATCCGCCATTTTCCCAGAGTAGTAGTGGCACCTACAAACTTTCCATATTCCATACAAATGAAAATACATTAGAATCTATCCTCAGGACAGAAATGATCTTATAGCAAAATAGAATTTAAAACCACTCTGGTCTACATAATCACTGATTCCCTCAGAAACACGTTGAGTATTGCTACTTCTATGAGATCAGTTTAGTTAAAGCTATAAAAGGAAGTTGAGGTGAACGAATGAAAGAGTTTGGACTCAAGGAACAGAGAATTTTAATTTCCAAACACTCGGAGAGAAAACATTTTCAAAGCAAAATTTTTAGTGAAAGAATCTTCCCTCCTATCACCCAAATTCTAGGAAGGCTCATTTAGTTTTAAATATAGCTCTAGTATACTCCATATAGCTCACATTTCATATTAGACAAAAAAAAAATCTGTCAATAAAATTTAAAAGAAAAAATAGAAACCTCAAGGCGATGCGGTTATTCTCTTTCGGAAAACCATTGGTTTATTTAGATTTTTTTCTTTTCTTTCTGTAGCTCTTGTCAACCCTGAAAGACAACAAAGTTTTAAAGTATTAGTTGAAGTATATATAAGATTGTAGGTCTCACCAGGGCAACGCAAGGTCCCAAGTTCGATCCCTGGTACAAAAAAAAAAAAAAAAAATTGTAAGTCTTTGGCCTAAGCTTCTAATTCAGGAACTAAGGAAAAGATCTCTCCAGGCCTTTGCAGTTTGATGCCAGCAAGTAAGACTCCCCACATAAGAGGATGATGGCTTGGAGCAGCTGCCCCTTTGCCCAAAGACGCTTGCTGTGTAAACCAATACCCTACAGTGGCTGGTTTTGTTAAGCTAGCAAAACTGCCACTCCTTCTGAGGCAAATGAAGTCCAGTAGAACAGGATAAATATAGGAATATGGAACATAGATCTTTTTTCAAACTAAGATATTTAGGAAAAAACTTTACCAAAAAAATGGAAAAAAACCTTGTTACACAGAGTGCCAACTTGACAAAGCCATAAACTCATTAGTGTAGGACTTGACTCTAATCAGAAACTCTACATGACAGATATTAATAGGGCATTTGTAGGGCACTGGGGTAACAGTCTTTGCTACTGCATTACTGTCACTATTTTCCCAGTTAGGACCCCAAATTTTGAAAAAATACCTCAAAAGAAGTTGTGGAACATCTAGTGAAAGAACACTACAGAAGAAGACATGAACTGGACTTACCTTTAAGTTATCAAATAAATCTCCTCTCAGCAGCAAATCCTTTCCCAACTCTCCCCTCCTGAGAACACCAGGCAAAAGCCAGCTTGGTGCCTGCACTGGGAATTATCATGTGGCAAGAGCAGCCAATCAGATTTTGAGTTGCTCAAATTTCAGAAGCTAAATATACTGAGTGATCTTCTGAAAACCACCTGTTCATCAGTTCCACTAAAGGATAAAGGGTAACAAATTGCTTGCTTAGAGCTATTAAAATGTAGTGGAATTTTACCTAATTTCCAATCTCTGAGGGTCAAATTTAGGTTTCATTTTTCATTTACTGCAGTCTCACTCAATATCCTCTCATGGAAAAGAATTTAGAGAAAACAGCATGGCTGTAGGGTCCTTTGACCCTTCCACAGCTGCTTTCTTCATACCATTTGTCCATTCTTAGTGGAGGTAAACATACTCACCCTGGTCATGCTCACCAGGTAAGCTACAAACAAGTTACTGTTGTTGATGTTAGAAATAGAAGAATGATATTCCAGAGAACACCAAATTGTCCAGGAGCAGTTAGTTTTTTTAAATGTAATGAATGAAATTAAAGGAAAAATTATTTATGGAGATGCTAGATAAGATATCTACAGAATGGCACTAGAAAGATTAGGCCCTCTTCTTGCTCCATTACTACACCAAGGAGTATGGCCACATCTATTCATTACCTTCTCCCTCCCCAGGTCCAGCCAGCTGTTAGGTAGACCAAGCCTCTCTGATGTATCAGGGTTGCTTATTTACCATTAACTTATGGCACCCGGCTCCTGGAAGCAAAATGTGGATGAAGGCCCCAAAAGTCTTCATTGCTAAACAGCAACAGAAAAACAGGAATAAGTTACTACTATAGTGGGAGAAAATAATATGCTATTGGGCAAATCAGAGTGTAAGGCATTTACTTTGTAAAAATCATCTAACAATGTTCTTAAAATTTACACTTTTATTTTGCTCCTGAACTTTTTAAAAATTTTAAAATCTAATTCTGTCTCTGTGTCCTTACATATAACATGGATCTGATGAGGTCTTACAGCACAGAGTATTGCTATTTTTCTGGGTTGCTCCTGAATGGAGGCAAAAACCCATGAGCCATTCATATCTGGATATAGATTGGAAACTAAACCGATTATAATATGCATAGTTTTTTAAGTTAAATGTTAGGAAGTAATCTCATAAAATATTTCTTTCTCTTCCCCTTCCATGATTCATCTGGTGGTAAATAACATTTAACACCATTTTGTCATGGTAACTAATCATACCTGTTTGTCTTGTATGTTCTCACAGTTCTTATGGCCAAGGAGAATCTATGTAATATAAGATCATTCACTTGGTAGATGTAAACTAGATATCGGAACAAAATTATGTAAAGTAAATAATAAGCATAGCCCTTCTCAAAGGTAGTCAATGTTACATTTCACATATTTTAAAAAGGAATATTAACATAAATCATAATAAAATCATAAAGGAAACATAAATTTCCTTTTCTCACATTTTTTCTTTTCCCTTCTTTCCCTTCCCCTACTGACGGAGCCCGCCGTCACTTGTCGAGCAGCACCTGAATGGGGGAGTGAGGATGAAGAAAAAGAAAGATGCAGAGACAGAGTCGGGAGCCTCTCCGAGAGCCTGCCGCCGCTTTTTTATTCTCCTCCCCTTTTTATCACAGGTGAGCTTGGTTATCAATCATGACCCTCATCCAGAGACACCTGCTTCCTTGTTCTCTAATTCTTTGGAAATTCCCCACCCTCATGGGCTTTCTTGTTTCTCGGGTTTACAAAACGTTCATCATGTTCCAGGACAATTACTGAAGGTAAACATCTAATTCGGCAAGGACGCGGTTCCTCGTCACATAGTCTCCTTGCTCTATACAATGGAGGGTAAGATTTAACATAGAGCCTCTATGGCTAACACTGCTCTCCACATCTCCCCATTTTATGTATTATGATCAAGGTCCCTTGATCATGCAGATAGGCTGTGCCTGGCTCAGGTGAGGAATATAAAGAAATCCCTTACCCGTCATGGAGTCAAGAGCATCACAGTACTCTTGCTCTGTCTTAGGTTGGTGATTTCCTGTATTCCTCTTACCCGTCATTGACTACCAGCCTCTGCAGGGAATTACACCATGGGTTTAGGC